CGAGTGAAGAAATGTAAACTACATTCCCTGTCTATTCACCTCGTAGATGCCTCAAAGGATTCACTGGTGAGAATTCAAACCTAACCATGAGCCCTTACGACCATCCGTATTTAAGTTTTGTTGGAGCACCTCGAATACACTGCTGACTCCATAAGGGAATCATTTACGGATGGAGGAAGTCAGCACGCCCGTGTCCTGATACACTCGTACACACACAAGCGTGAATGTGTGTGCCTGTCCAAGTTCTCCCCAGCGGGAAAATCCTCCTGAGTCTCACTGTGCCGTTTCCCACTCTCACCGCGGACACACCTCGACGTCCTTCCCTACCGGTCCTGGCTCATTTCCAGGGGGTTCTGGTGTCTGAGCAGGTGAAGGACGCTGTCGTGTGGGTCACCCACCCGTGGAGGCCCCGGGGTGGGGGGGCTGGAGTGGGTTACAAGGTCCCTTCTCCTGAATCTCTACGAATGTCCTCTTGCAGAGCAGGAGTTGTGCGAGTTAGCGGGTGACGCTCGGACCCCCACGGGGGCTGCAGTGGGCTGTGTGGTCACCTGGGGCTGTGCTGAGGGTGTGGGTTTACCCGTGCGATTCCACGCAGGCCCGAAGTGCACCAAGGGGACTGTGGGGCACAGGGGCCTCCCTGTTCGCATCTTACACGCGGCTTCTGTGTGCTGCTCATGGTCCTGTCAGCACCTAACATGCAGTTTCCATGTGTCGCTCACGGATCTGCCTGTATCCGTCTAACACGCGGCTCCCCTGTGCCCGCCGCTCACTGGGGCCTCGGCTCTCAGGGCCGCCCTGGGCTTGTGCCGGCCCCGGCCGCCTCGTCCGTGGTTCGTAGCAGAGGATCCAGCAGAAAGAATGGAACATTAACACAGTTTCTGAAGCAATTAAAGAAGTTTCAACTAGAGGCGAATTTCCTACTAAGATCAGATACCACATAAGATCCAGCGGCGCAGGCGCGGTCGCTGCTGGTGGAGGGGCGGCCTTCTTCGGCACACGACCTGTCACCTGCGAAATCGTGGCTCTGCCGCCGGAGGGGAGAACGGCCTGGACACGCTGTGTCCACCAGCGGAACGGAACGTTCCGACTTCAATGTGCCGAGATGACATCACTTTACCTGCACAAGTCTCACTGGCTGGTGATGATCCAAACAGCTCTGAGCTGCCCTTTGTACCCTTACGGGTAGAGTTACAACTGTTGACACCGTGTCACATCCAATGTCTGTGGTGAAAGCCCCCCGCCCCCCTGGCCCAGCAGTTTTATCACGGTGCAGCTGCCGTGAGGTCCCTGCTGGCACAGGTGTAGGGCAGCTTCTGAACCTGGGGTGCTGGACATGGTGACAGGGTGGTGACGCAGCAGGGACGCAGGACAGGAGTCTGGGCGGGGCGAGGACCTGACTCTCCCCGGGGCCTTTGGCCTCTGAGGGGCAGGCAGCAGTGGGATGGGGGGGGCCCAGAGCGCAGCGGGCTGTTCTGTTTTCCTTCTCAAAGGCTTGTTTCTTCCATTCAGCAAACGGTGATGGCGGTGCTCTTGGAGCAGGAGGCCGGCGAGGCCTGTGCTCTGGGGGCGGCTGGGGGCGGCTGGGCACCCGTCCCGTGGTTGGAACCAGTGCGACTCAGGGTCCCCGCCCCTCCGACACGGCGGAGGGCATGGGCGGCGGTGGAGGAGTCGGGAGAGACGGTGCCACGGCCACTCTGCAGCTCCCACAAGCAGGAGGGAGATCAGAAATGGCAACGTTCACCGAGGGGAACCTAGCGTGGCTGCTTTCACTCCGGGGCCGAGGCCCAGCCGGCGACGAGGGCCCTGAGTCCTGGGTCCCGAGCCGGGCCGGCCAGTGCCCCCAGCCACGCCTTTCACAGCTGCTGTTTGTGCCACGGTGAGGTCTGTGTCCCTCTTTGTTCTGGACATCGTTCAGTTGTCCCATTGTGGCTCCGCTGCCCTTAAGTGACCCCGAAGCACTCGGGCGTTTCGAAGGCCAGGACCTGGGAGTAGGTGCACAGGGCGGGCGGCAGGGCCTGCTCGCCCCACAGGGCCGCCCCGCAGGTGCCGTCACTGCCCCCAGGAACCGGCCTCCAGGGACCTGGGGGGCGGGGCTCCTCTGCCAGCCCAGGGCATGGCGGGTGAGCTGGCCTCCACTCCTGCCGGGGCACAGGCCACCCTGGGCACCTTCCCTGTGCACCTCTCTCACCTGTGGGCCCGCGGGGGCAAGCTGTCCGCCTTGGAGACACCTCTGTCCTGAGAAAGTGAATGAGGGGCTCCCTCTCCTAGGTTTAGAAGGCGAGGCAGGAGCTGACTGACCCCAGTGTCCCCCGAGACAGGTTGGTGTGGCCTCAGCGAATGGGGGACGCCAGCAGGACCTCTGGTGTCCTTGAGATCACCGCCCAGCGCAGTCCCCACCTGTGTCTACAGGGCAGCCTACTGCCCCCTGGTCTCCACCTGTCTGCGTGGTCACCGGGACGCCCGCAGGGCGGCTTGGCCTCAGTCCATGGGGTCTGGGTGGCTCTTTTGTGAACAGAGATCGTGTGAGACAAAGGAGGGGCTGCCCGCGATGGAGCCCCTGGTGAGGGAGCTCGGAGGGCGGGGTGGGCCACGGCGCCCGCCTTCCCGCCTGGTTCTCCGGTGGTGAGGGCGGTTTGCGTCATGTGCGGGTGTGAGGGTCAGAAAAGCCCAGGACAGGGCTACGGCAGCACAGCGCCCTCCCCACAGCCGGACGACGCCCCGGAAGTGTGCCCTCCCTCTGGGTGGCCCAGGCGACGCCCCTCTGCAGTGTCGCTGTCAGGAGGTCGGTCCCACGGAGCGTTAGAGCTCCAGTGTGGTGTTTGCTCAGATCTAAGTCAGTCCTGCAGTGGACCGTCCCACGAAATGGAAAAGCAAGTAAAACTGGAGCGCGTGGCAGGGCAGCGGTGGGCCCGGAGGAAGGGGCCGCGTCCGTGGTGGGGCCTCGGAGCAGGGCCCCGCCCCCGCCTGGCCGCGCACCCGCTCCCCAGGGCCAGCAGCTCAGTCCTCGGGGACTGGGACCCGCTGAGTGTGACACTGAGCCTGGGCCATGTGACCCGCAGAGACTCATCGGTGACGGATACCGGCCTCTGCTCTTTCCTGGGATCCGAGGCTGCTGGCACTCGGACAGATGGCCCACGGGAGTGGGGGACTCGCGGTCTGAGAACGTGGCCCTCAGGCGGACTCCTGTTTTTTCTCTTTTTGTCAAGTGGAGGGGACTGCTGATTTCATTCGGAGTGATGTTCGTGGGACACATCATAACTTAATGAGAGTTTGCACGAACAGTCTCCAATACTATGCAGCGAAGATGGACGGCCAGAGAGGGGCGGCGCCTGTTACCGGGCGGCCCTGCCCTGCAGAGCGGGGTGTCTCTGGTGCCGGGGGAGCATCGGAACCCGGACCAGCAGGTTCGAAAGCCGTGCCCAGCAGCTCCGAGGGGCGGCCCCGCATGCCTTCCTTGGGGTTGCCGGGCACACGACGGAACCACGGAGACACCCAGGCCGCTTGCTCTCGGTCAGACGGAGGGAGGATGTCGTCAGATCCATCGTCTCTGTTGTGACCCAGCCTGAGTCCAGTGTCAGCTGTGCGTGCACAGGGGTGACGGTGGGGACCTGTGTCCTGTCCCTGGTCGGCCAAGAGCGTGGCAGGTACACCCCTCCCACCTACAGGCTCCAGCTCAGGCTCTGAGAAGTCCCAGGGACCCCGCAGGCCACGTGTGGCCATTCTTCCCATGAAGAGACAAGTTCAAGTGTGAACACGACTGAGATACTTGCATTTCCTTTGGCTTCCGCATCCAATCCCGGGCGGCGGTTCTCTGGGCTGAGGATCCAGTCCAGCAGGTGCCAGAGGGTGGCCAGGGAAGGCGCCCCGCGGGCTGGGCCATGTTCCTCATTCCAGGGCCGGGCTTCTCACAGGCCTGGGTCACGGGGTACAGTAGGCATATTACACGTATGTGCGTGCATGCCGTGTGTGCCTGCTAGTGACAGAAGGGCAGACATGGCTATGAATAACCCTAACACGTATGAACCAGGAGAGAGATGAGGAAGATGAGGTTTGCTTTAGAAATGAGTACGCTTGACCAGAGTCACTCTGAAGCTCACTCTTATTCACGTACAACACCTGAAACCAGCGTTTGCATGTCGTCATTCCTGTTTGTACACACGTGTAGCCGGAATGTAGGAGTGGAGACACAGTGTAAAGAGACTTTCATTTCAGAGGTTCCCAGATGGACTTGTTCCTGAAGTAACTCCCACGCAGACGTGGCTCTGGGCGGCCCTGGGGACGGGGACGTTGTCTCGGTGGCTCTGCTCCCTGGGAGGGACCCGAGGGACCTCGGGCTTCACGGCGTCCTGCCCTGGCCACTTCAGGAGGCTGGAGCCTCGCCTGCTCGGGGGTCCTGGGCAGGGGACCCAGCATCGCTGTCCCGAGGACAAAGGGGGGCCCAGTGTGTTCAGGTGAGGACCACGCTGGACCCCGTCCACTCGCCCCGGGAGCAGGGGCAGCCACATGTGAGGGCCACTCAGGTCACCGGACAGGCGGAAGAGGCACAGCTTTACAGAAAGGAGTTACTTCCCACCGCCTCCTGAGTCCCCGTGGGGTGAAAACACCGCGCCCCCAGGCCGTGGGCCACTTCCTCTTCCTCTTCTGTGACTTTTTACGCCCGTCGGGCTTGCTCTTGCCCACCCCCAGATGAGCAAATCAGAGAAACAGCGTCTAGAAGGGAAACTTGGGAAAGCCCCAGTGCCTGTGCACAGAAAAGTGGGCAAAACACACCAAAACAGGCAGAAACAAGGAGGGGACAGACCCCACGGTCCCAGGGGCGGTCGCGTTGGGGAGAAGGGCTCATGAGCAGCTGGGGGAGGGCTCACCACGCGTGTTTCTGTTGGGTCGAGTTTCCAGTGGGGAGGACGGGGTGCAGACGACCCGTGCACCCGAAACAGTCACAACCGCCCCTAGATGAGGGTGCGTGTGTGCACGGCCATCGAGCGAACTCTGTCACGTACCGAACACGCTGTCCCCCGAGGTCTCCCGGGACAGTCCTCGGGGGGTCCTCTTCCTTTCAGCCTCCGCCCTGGTGGCTTCGCCGTCCTGGGGACAAAGGAAACAGAGTTTCAGCCACGAGTAGCTCCCTGCACGTCTGCGCTGACACGCGCCGCAGCGGGCGGTCGGCCCCGCTCTCGAGGGGGCGTCTCCCTCCCGGTTGGGGGCAGCCCCGGTGTGGGGGCCGGGGGTTTCTGCCGAGCACACAGGCGTCTCTCCGTCGGGGGGGTGTGTTTTCACACGAAAGACACCGACTGTCAGGCCGGATACAATCCGTGAGCACACTCTCACCCCAGCCCTGCTTTCTTAACATACTGACAACGTGGAGAACAGTTCTCGGCATCGCTGGGGACGGGGCACAGCAGGGCCCCCCTGGGAGCGGGGACAAACATCCACAGCCTTTCTCAGAGGACAAGCCACAAAAACCTCACTGTCCCTCTGCCTGGAGCCCCTCCTCTGCCTCCTGACCCCTCGGTGCCTTCCCCGTGGCTGTGCCCTTCCTGACCCCACCCCCCACGGAGAGCTGACAGCGGCACAGACACACGGTTCGATAACAGTGGGGACCGGGCCTTCCACAGCTGGCTGTCCCCGGACCTCACAGCGGGCGGGACCCAGTGAGGGCGGCTCAGACGGACGGACGGACGGCATCTCCCTGAGCAGAGGGAGCCGACCCAGGTTCCTGTCTACTTTTCCAGACCTTCCTGTTTCGTTTTAGAAGAGAAGGAACTTGGAACGGAAAACAATGTCTTGGTGGTTTCTTTTCTCAGCTATCAATTCAGGCCGCGTATTTGTTCCACATTTGTTCTACGCTGATACCAGTGTGGTTTTCACTGAGCACAAAGTGAACAGTTTTGTTGGAGGAGTCGTTCGTTCATACAATTCGGCCACCATTTTGTTCACGTGGAGGGTTTTTTGTGTGTGCGTTAACAGCTAACATCAGCTCGACCCTCCCAGTCCACGGCCTCTTCCTGTGAGAGCTGCGGCGTCTCTGCCTCTTGGCGTTGAGTAAAGTCACGCGGGTCTCAGAGGTGATGGGTGTTTCAGGTTCACAGTGAAAGCCGGACGTTTACAGTGAAGAGGAGGCTGGTCAGCGGTTGCAGCCTCCAGCCCGGGCCCGGCTCAGGCAGGGCGGGCAGGGACATCCAGCCGCTCACACCCGGCTGGTGCACCCTGGGACCTGCAGCCACATGTCATCGTCCGCTGTCCTTTCCTGACTGAGAGCAGCCACAGGTGGAACAGGGTGGGGGACAGACAGGCCCTTCATCTGAACCCGCCTCCTCGGGTCTCGTCCCCCTCTCAACGCCGGTGACGGACGTGCACTGGGTGGGTGGGTGGGACAGGGCAGGGGAAGCAGGTGCCGCCCGTGGAAACCTGGTGACTGATTTCTGTCCACACACAGGCTTGTTCCCGAGGCCTGATACCGCTGTCCGCCCACGAGAATAGGAAGGTCCCTGAGAACAACAGGTTCTCAACAAGCCAAGTGTCTACAAGCAGAACAAACAGAACCAAGGGGCTGCTGCGTGTCAGGTTCAGTGGAATCTCCACAATGAAGAATTCAGAGCTTCCTGTGAGTAACCAATCGTGCGGGGATCCAACGGGCCAGCGCCGGACCCAGCTGCCCTGGGCACTGTCCCCACTGCCCACGTCCCCAGGCTGGGTCTGTGCCGGCAGGTGTCCAAGTGCATCTGAAGCCATTACGGTTTCTGTCTCCAAATCATTTGTCCCTATTTTCCCTCCATTCGCCTAACGATGTGAGAGCTGACCTACCTAAGAGCCCACTTACTTGTCCATAACAATTTTGGGGACAGTGCAGTGAGAAAAAATGCTCATGCTGAAGGCAGCTTTAAAAGCATTTCCTATGTAGATGAGACTTGTTGCTCAGCAGCGCGACCCGATATCCGTGACCGACGGAGTGGTTTGCTGCCCGCCCATCCCTCTTCTCTCACTCCACAGTCTTCCTTCCCATGAGTTAGAAATGCCTGGAGCGGCAGGGCCGGTGGCACCCCACCATGGGCCTGGTGTCCCTCTGGTCACCACCGGCAGGGCAGGGAAGCCTCCCTCCACTCCACCCAGGACTCTCGGTGCAGCCAGAGCCTTGCCCCTCCCCGCCAAGCTCACGGCACCTCCTAGTTCACGGCTCCCAGTGTCCCACCCGGACAGAAACAGCGGGATGGATTTTGTCGGCTCTACTGGGAAGGGTTTTGAAGTTTCCTTTAAGTATACGAGCAGCTATTTCTTGTAGGTCCTAAAGATACGTTGCCTTTCAAATGCCTCCCTTGACACGGTTGGGACTGTGAACATCACCCACAGAGGGGCGCTCGGTGTCCCCCGGCAGCCCAGGGGAGGGCCTGCTGGCCACGAGGACCTGCTTCCACCTAATTAGCGCAGACCCAAGATCCCCAACTGCCCCCAACGGCCTCGGGGGACGGGGGTTAAACTCTGCCCACAGTTTGGGAGGCAGCTGGTGTCCCTCACGTGAGGACCCAGGGAGCCGGGGCCCCCTGAGACGCAGGGGCCAGGCCGCTCTCCTTTGCAGTGGCCCCTGCCTGAGTCAGATCTCAGTCCTTCCACTGTGCGTGTGTGTAATAAAAACCATTTCTATAACACGGAGCTCAGTACTCAGCATTTTGGGTTCGTTCCCTAAAAAGCAGGATCGTCTTTATTCTTGCTCTAAGCTGCCCTGGCGTAAGGAACGAAAGCCCACTGAGAGCTTTGGGGACTGAAGTAAAGAACGTGGAGAGACAGGACCGCGTCGGGTGGCCCGTCTCAGAGGCAGGTCCCCTCTGTGTGGAGCGAGAGCCGGACGGGACTCCCACACAGGGCAGGCCGGTGTCTGGCCAGCTGGGGCTTCTCGATGCTGGCGTGGGTGTGGCCCAGGCTGGGGGCGTGGGCTGTCCTGTGTGCTGTGGGGGGCTCAGCAGCACCTTTGGTCTTGCCCTCTGGGAGGCATGAACACATGTGTCCCACCCAGGGTCAGGGGGCGGGCCACCTGGGTGGGTGGCCACTGGTCTAGACCAAGGGCAGTATCAGAGAGGGAGCAAACCCCGCAACCCCACGCGGTGGGGTCCTTGCTGGAACACGAGTCTCGAGCGGATACACATCACGCCATCAAAACTCACTTTCCGAGAACAGTTTGAGAGCTGGGAGGGCGTGGTGGCCAAGGCCCAGAAGCGCGAATACAGACGGTTCACGAAAAGCAGTGCCACCTATGCGCTGGCGTCTCAGATGAGAAGCCACACGGGGGCCCATGGGGACCCCAGGCGTCCCCGACATTAGACACTGTTGTGCTGCTGTCAGTGCTGCTAAGAAAGCAGAACAACGACCCCAAGAACGGCAGAAAATATCTGCGAATCGTAGACCCGATAAAGGTCTAGCGTCCAGAATGTGTCAAGAGCTCCTGCAACTCGACGGCAACCAAAACCCACTCAGTTAAAAACACTGGCAAAGAATCTGAACAGGCACCGCTCCAAAGAAGACACACGAGAGGCCTGTAAACACAGGAAACACGCTCAGCACCTGTCTCCATTCAGAAAACGCAAATGGAAGCCGCGACGAGACACCACTTCCCCCACCAGGCGGACGAGATGAGAAACACTGAACACAGCAGGTCTCGGTGAGGATTTGCGGCGGGGAAAGCACCCCTGTCCCCGGCCATGCGGTGGGGAGACGCGGTGGAAAACAGTCTGGTGGCTCCGAAGTCCATCACGGATCCACCACCTGACTCGTCCGATCCGCTCCCAGGTGTACACCCGAGAGAAACGAACGCGTGTGAGCACACGCCAAACCGCGTCCGCGCGCATCCACGGCAGCCTCAGTCACACTAGCAGAAATGACCCAGGTGGCCCGCGGCCCATCCCCGGAGCGGGAGAGTGCTCAGCCACGGAAAGGAGTGAAGGCCGGCGTGACACAGCGTGGACACATCGGAAGCTGTACGCGCCGTGAAGGCAGCCGGACACAAAAGGCTGCCTGTCACACGCAGCGTCCTGAACGGAGGCGTCCAGGGACAGCCAGCAGAGCCGTGGGTGCCGCCGAGGGCTGGGGTCGCGGACCCTGGGCTGACACTGAGGAGCGCACGGGTCCTTCTCGGGTGATGAAGAAGTTCTAACGTGGACAGGCGTGGTAGTCCCGCATCGTCGCGAACACACCCGAATCCCATGGAATCACTCACTGCGAGTGGGCAGTGCGTGTGCTGTGGGGGCCGCGTCTCAGTGCGGAGGTTCGAGAAGGAAGCACTCCGTCTGCAGGTGGTCCCCGCACCGCTAACGGGGAGCTGGAACTCGGTGCTCCCGGTGGCCCCCGAGGCTGTCACCCGAGGTTCAGAAACGGCCCTTTCAACAGCGCTGTGCTGTGAAGGCCCCGGGCTCTGCCAGGGTCACTGTTCTTGTCACCAAGACTGTCACGTCCTTCAGAGTGTGCAAAGGCGTGAGCGAAGGGCTAGTTTACACGCGGCTTTTGCAAGCCACCGCAAAACAAATCCCTGGAGCCACAGGGAAGCTGTTCACAGGCCTGTCCTGCAAGTGGACGTACCAGCTTCTACTTCAGGAGTCCCGATATCTCGCCCCCTGTTCCTGGAAGCGACTGGTCAAGTAGGACGAGGACGGCAGTCACGCCAGGCAGAGTGTGGTGACAGGGAGGGGGACAGAGGAGAGGAGGGGGGGATGATTGTGTGAGGTGGGGCTTTAATGCAAACGCACTTACAGCTAATTTGTGTGAGGGCGTCCTTCAGTTCGAAGGGACCTTGCCCGTTACTGAGAATGCGATTAGGCCGTGGTTAGGCCGTGGGGAGCTCCGCTCTGAACTGGAAGTGAACACGCTGCCTTAGGCTTCACGGAGCAAAACCTTGCCATCCGTCTGCCTGGACCTGTCTGTCCAGTCGCCTCCTGCCACGCAGCTGCAGTGGCAGCGCCTCCGGTCCAGCTTCGAAGAGATACATTTTGCACAAAAGACAAACACCGAGATCCATCGGAGCCTCCACCACTTTCCCAAAGAAGCTCCCAGCTTGGCGAGCGCTCCTCCCCACACACGCTCCTCCTTCACCGGGAAATGGGCCCGGAGTCTCCGCCCTCTGGGACTCTGGGAGGAGGGGCCTGGCCAGTGACCGGGTCCCACCCTAAGCTGGCAGTCCAGGCCAGACACCGTCATGCTTATTCGCTGTTGCCTGTCTTCTGACCTTTTCCGTACTTTAGAGAAGGTGGAAATGAAGTCTTGAGCGAAACCACATTCTACTGTGCATGCCAAGGCAGGGAGGGTCGGGAGTAGACGGGAGGGGTTCCCGGAACTCAGGCTGCACCTGCCTTTGGGTTCCGCGGGCTGAACGCAGGGACGAGTCCGTCTGGCGGCAGAGCGCGCCCCGGTCTGCGCAGAAGCCCTTCCGCAGAGCGCACTCTGCTCTCGCTGTGGTCGCAGGGGTGAGGCTCGGGAGGGAGACCTGCTCCGACTCGCTCTGGGCGCGGGAGCCGAGGATCAGGCCGGAGCTTGTCCTGCTCTGTCTACACCCAGAGCAGCACCTGAACCCCAATCGCCAGCTCAGTGCGTCTCAAGAGTTTCACATCCACAAGTGCTTGGCAGGACCCACGAGCCCCACCTCCACTCCATCGAGGGCCCCCAAACCTGGTCTCCCCGCAAAGGCACATTCGGGGGAAATGCTGTGTCATGTCCCAGCCGTCTCTCATTTCATGACTGACGGCCACGGTGAGTCTGATGGCAGTTTGTGTGTGTTGGTGGCTGTTGGAGGGTTGGACCTTCTGAACAAAATGTCGCTGTCACTTTGATGGAACTGTTCTGCTTTGGGACAGACCCCGGTTTCATGACACCCATGGTCTTGGAAAGGAGCTGTTACCCATGGTCCCCTAGGACCCGGGTGACCAATGTCCAGTATCCAGTGGAGCTACGCTGCCCCTGGAACATGTGGCTATTTACATCTACATTGTTAAAATGAATGGCACTGAGAATGGGGGCCTGCAGCTGGACTAGCCACACGCTCTGTGCTTCCTGACCATGCGTGTCTAACGGCCATGGCAGCAGACGTCACAGACCCAGCACGTTCCCGCTGCAGCCGGAACGCCTGCCGGACCTGTGGCGGCCGCACCTGCGCTGGAGGACTCAGAACCCTGCAGCTGCCCTGCCCCTTTGATGCCCCTGCTGCCTGTCGGGAGGTGGTCTCCTCCTGGCCCCTGAGGCCAAGAGGAATTCTTGGGGGGCGGGGGCAGATGTGTGGGGGATGGAGATGGAGAGAGGACACGAGGAGCAGAGTGTGGCTGAGCTCCGGGACGAGGCCCAGCGGGTCCGTGTGCACCTGCCGTCCGGGGCCCGCTGCACCGCGGGGGTCTGAGCACCTGACGGGGTTGGCGCGTCTGCAGGGAGAAGCCTCTACCCACAGTCCCTTCAGCGCCAACTCGCGTGTCCTACGATTAACCTGAGAATCTCCTGAGGCCACAGCCACCTCGTCCATGCGACTTGGCTAAGAAAGTGGAGATAGCAGAGCGGCTCTGGGAAAGGCCCACACTGCAATCTACTCAGGGGAAATCGGGGGTGAATTTGGGGCTCAGAGGCCCCGTGGCCCCAACACAGACACGGAGCTCCAGGCTGGTGTCTGCGGACCAAAGCCAGTGAGTTTCTCAGCGATTCTGCGTCCCGCCCTGTGATGTCATTGTGCCGCCCGCACCGGCTTCCAGTCCCATGACGTCATCGTGGTGCGGGACCCTCAGCGGAGAGAGCAGCAACGAAGACGTGGGTCTGGAAGGGCCCTTGTCCTGGCGGGCGGTGGGCACAGTCGCACCCACCTGGGGCCCACGGCCTGCGTCCTCAGGTTCAGCCCTCCAGCAGTCACCTGGCGCGGGGAGGGGACTCGCTGGACACGGGGCCCCCGCGGGGCTGCACAGGCCGGGATGCCCGGGACTCACCCGCGAGCAGGGCCGACGGAGCCAGGCCCTCCCCTCTGAGCTTCTGCTCGGAGGTACAGGGGCTTTCGTGGAGCGGCGGGTGCGGTCCCCGGGAAGAGCAGGGGGCGCAGGGCAGGGCTGAGCGCAGAGCAGCCCCCGCCCTCTGTGCCTGGGACTGGCCGTCGAGGGGCCCAGATGCCTCGGAGCAGCCGGTGGGGGGTCAGGCAGTCCACCGCCGGGCCAGCGGTTGTGAAGGAAGCGAGAGGCTCAGTCTATACTCACTGAGGGGGGAGGGAGGCTGCTTCGGGGCCCCAGTGCCCTGGTCTGTCTGCAAACAGTCTCATCTCCCCGGGTATCACTCCCACACCTCGGGGAGTCTTTCAGGGGGCGGGAGTTTCTGCCCACACACCCGGCTCCCCACTGCCCCGGAGAGGCTGTGCCAAATCGCTCCGATAATCCTGCCCTAGAGGAGGGTGATTCCTTGTCTTTGCACAGTGTCAGGCCGGTGTGCCCATCACCTGAAGTGAGTGTCAGGGAGGCAGGGGACAGAGGGACAGAGGCACCCAGGAGCCTGGTGATGGTGGCATGCCACCTGTCATCAGGGGTGCAGCGGGCAAAGGGCTGAGAACCACCCTTCGCAGACCCTCCTGGGGACCCCACAGCCGAGCAGAGCCTCAGAACCAAGCTGAGGAGCAAGGTGGAAACCGCGAGTGCTCTGCTAGAAGCAGGAAGAAGTTCTCTGTGGCCGGCGGGAGGGCCCACAGGGGCTTCTTCGCGCTGTTCTGTTTCTCTGTGCTCTGCAAGAGCTCACAGTCACTCGTGGAGAGGGCCCCAGAGGCCCTGGCACCGGGCGGCCCAGCCTCTGGGGGTCCGAGAGCTCCACCTGCCACGCAGCCCTGGCATGTCCAGGGTTTGGAGCCGCAGCGCCCACCCGCAGGACGGTGTTTCATCACGGGGACAGACGTGCGCGCGTCTTACCTTGTGGCCCTTCTCAGCGCCGGCCTCTCGCTTCCCCGCGTGGTTCCCCATCCTGAGCCGATCAAGCTGCGGAAGGACAGAAAACAAGGTGTCAGCCCCAAACGGGTGCATTTAGAATTTCCTGGGTAAAGGTTTCTCAGTCAGGACACCTCCCAGGAGAGGGGCTGTGTCCCTTCCGGAGCAGAGAAAATGCACCCCAAACCCCACCCACAGCGCACACCTTGTGAGTGGTTTCACGAAAACAGCTGGACGGGAGGGGAGCCTGTTTCTCGGGGAACAAACACTCTCGGGGCGTTTCCTCGTGGGAAAAACAGCTCATCTCGAGCCGGCTCGGGGGCTGTTCTGACACACACACACGCATGCAGAGGGCATCACGGGTCATGGTCAGGCGCCACGCGACAAGACCAGCTGAGGTGCCGGAAGGAGCCACAGATGAAGGGTGACAAGTGCACCCCGTGTGCTCACTGCCAGGGCCCCGTGTGCAGAGAAGCCGCGCAGTCCCACCCAGGGCGTCTTATCAGACAGGTATGCCAAAAATCTGCAGAGTTTCCAGGGGAGAGAACGTTGGATAAAAGAAAAAAACACTGTGTTTCTGTTTGTATATTCAAACCCACTCTCTAGCAGCAAATTCACAGTATTTTTTCTTGACTGATCTCAGCCCACATGGGCCCTGCGTGGACCCGAGGTCCAGGCACCCCTCAGACCTGACCCCTGGGCACAGCGCCCCACCTTCAGGACAGCGACCAACCGCCCTGTCGCACTGTGTCTTCCGGGAGGACGTGTAGGTCCCGGCTTCCTGCTGGACCCGGAACGGCTTTCCTTCAAAAGCCACTGAAGTGAGTCATTCTCTAACCCTGAAGGTTCTCTTCAGAAAACGGGGCATTCTCTGAATTTTCCCACAGTCACCCACAGTCCTGGCTGCCTCTTGGGTGACTAATGAGCTGCCACAGGTGGAGAGCAAACAGCTAGACTGTGACTCTCGGGGATGGGCACCGGGGCAGGAGACGTGTCCGGGGACGGCCCCACTTCCAACAACTCAGACAAAATCTCAACAACGTGCGATCGAAGATGCTTCAGTTCCGATGCCAATGTGGCACCAGCTTCAACAAGTCCCTTGAGCTCCTCATGCTTCATGAGCAGAGAGGAAAAAGCCGATTTTTTATTGCGCTGAGTGAAATATGTCAGAGGAAGACAAGTACCATATGAATCTAATCACCAGGATGAACCGACAGACAAAATAGAAGCGGAGGCGCGGAGGCATGAGGCAGACTGCTGGTCTCAGGGCGGAGGGCGCTGGGTGGAGGAGGGGAGGGGTCGGCCCGAAACACGCACAGGACAGGGCGACGGCACTGCGACGGGAAGGGACGGGGGCCGGGAGGAGGGGGCAGCAGAGACGTCTGTCACAGTGTCAGCAATAAAGTAGAGTTGAATGGGCAGTAAAGCGTATGCATTTAAAAACGCAGGTGTAGCTCTGCGGGCCATTTCAGTACGGACGGGGGTTCTGTCACCCACCTTCTCCATTTATTCCATTAGACCAAAAACACTACGGGTAGTCTCGTGGGGGGAATGGAGATTGGGGCACTTTCTGCTGTAGGAACGGCTGCAAGAAATGGGGGGCAGTGTTCAGCCTCACCCTCTGGGGTTTGGGCTGCATTCAGAGGGCGCGGGTGGGTGGGCAGCGGCAGTCACTCTGAAGTCTGGCCCCTTGTCAGCTCCGTTAAGGTAAATGCTGAGTAAAGCAAATGTTGGGCAGTTTTCAGGAACCCTGAGAACTTGCTACGTGTACACGGAATCTGTAGAAGGGTGATGCCCCAAACGCACGTGGGTCCGCCTTGCTGTTCCCGGGACAAGGAAGAGCCTGTTCTAAAGCACAGGAAGAACAGGTGACCTCCTTTCATCGAAGCTGACGGCTGGGACTCTCAGGGCTTTCCCCTTGGGGGCACAAAGCCCCTCGCGTCACCACCTCCGTTCCCAGCTGGGCAGCATCACTGACCCTTGTCCTCCAGCCCCGGCCACCTGCCGCCTCGGTCTGGCCCTCACCCCCGTTTGTTTTGGTTCCCTGCCAGGATTTGGCAGCCCCTGCACCCCACCCCTTCATGCTCCTCTTCAGAAAACAGAACTTGAAGGACTTAGCCAACGTCAGAGGCCCACGGGGCTTGTAAATATCTGGGGCTGTGTGTGGATTCAGGCAGAACGGTTCTGGACAAAGGGACTGTGAGGCACGGCTGAGCTCTACCCACGGGACACGCCCTCGGCTCCCAGGAGAGAACGGCTCCCGCTGTGCTTGACCCAAACCTCCCCGTGCGTCAGAGCGGAGCTCGAGGTCACGCTTGGGGGCTGTAATCACACTTCAGGAGACTCGTGAAAGCTGGACACACACAGAATAGACCCGAGTCACAAAGGTGCAGGTCAGACTTTTGAATTCAAGCAAAACCAGTTAGATTTGATCAGCGTTTCTGACGCATCACGCAGAGCAGGCATGCTCCGGCCTCGTCGGTGGGACGACGGTCTCTGGCCGTCAGCCCTGGGTGCTGGCCTGTCCAACTGCCCCTCGGTGAGAAGACGGCATGTGTATGGAGACGCAGGGGGTGGTCAGCAGCCTGGACCCAGTAGGACCGCCCTGCCCTGTCACCAGGGTGGCAATGGTCAGGTGATGGAAGGCCACCTTCCTGCCATGACATGACACAGGGACAGGCCTCGAACCAGCAGCTGGGCTCTGTAATCAGTGAAAAGACCATGTGCAAGTCAAAGAGCCGGAAGATCGGGGTCACCCTCATTTCATCTCGCTGTTGCAATTAATCAGAAAGAGCAAGAGGAACATTCGGGAGGCCTGTCCCGGGGAAGTCACCTGGCCCGATGGGAGAGCCGTTCCGTCTCACCGTTTGTGATTCCCCGCTCCCAGGGCACAGGGATTTCGGCCGCTCTCTTGGCGGAGAGCCCGGGACATGGGCGCAGATGGAGCCCTGTGAGAGGATGGGTGCCCGAGAACGTGCAGCTGCAAGGCCGATGGTGGGAACCTGAGACCTGGGGCCCATCCATGCTCCTGCTGGAGACCTAGGGCAGGTACCTCCGCTGCCCGAGCCCCGGGTCCCCCACAGTGGAAGTAACGAGGGCTCCCTTGCTGGGCTAAGGAGCGAGGAGCCCATGGAGGAGCCGCTGAGGGCCAGGGGCAGGTGGGACCCTCGTCTCTGGACGAGCTGGCTCTTCTCTCTCTCTCCCCCCACCAAGGTGCCTGTCACCAGTGTGGCTGGCCAGGAGGAGAGGAGACCCTCCTTGCTGACCACTGCTCCACCATCCCAGCCAAAGTGCAGAGATCTTTCTGTGGGTTCTCACATACATGGACACCCACATTCAAAGGCCAAGTTCAGGGACGGAAAAGGGGTGGAATGCCAGTGGCCCTCGAGGAGCCGGGAAGTGACTGCACACTGTGAGCCCGCAGGAAGCTCCTGCTGACTGACAGACGACCCAGACACCCTTGCGGGGAAGTGACGTACCTCCTGCAAGTTCAAGTGCCGCCCAGGAATACAGTCAATGGTGCTGAAACAACCCTGTACGGTGGGGCAGCAGACTCAGGGAGGCATCACTTGGAGGATATATAAACGTCTAATCTTATGTTACACACTTGAGGTTGATACAATGTTGTAGGTGAACTGCAACTGAGGAATTTTAAAAAACTGTGAACAAGACTATACCGAGTTGAGGTGGAGAGAAGACCAGCCCTTCCCCAAACTTCGGAGACACCCTGCGACGTTGAAATGCTGCACTGGCTATTTCTGCAGTACCCTTGAGGGCACTGTTACAGGAAACGGGATCATTGTGAAATCTTTTGTTTCGATAGATTTATTGTGACATAGAGAAGGTTTCATTTAAGTCTTCTCACAGAGCTGGCTTCATAGGCGTGGTCCCCAAGCCCTCTTTGCCGTCTCCCGGAGGAACAGAGATGCAGGGGGCGGGGCCTGCGTGGGCGGGCCCTGCGTGGGCGGGACCTAGTGTGGGGCTGGGCGGGCCGCTGTCCGCCAGCCACCCGCTGGTCTACGCTCATTTCTAATCGATTGTCTAGTTGCATTTACGCCCATGGTGTAGGAAACGAACCACGGTTGTACAATTTTTACAGACTGACGGTTCTTTTGCCTTCATTTTCATAAGATGCTGCTGATTGGACAATAAGGTTTTTTTGAGTTCATGTTCAAGAAAGCACTCTGAAAACGCGTGTTTCCATGGAGACACGGGACCGACACGCCGGGATGTGCTCCCTCCCTCGGCGATGGCAGGGCAGGACCGGCCCTGTGAGCGAAGGCGACGCGGGCCGCCGCGTGGAGCCAGGAGAAGAGCAAGCGCCTGCAGGGGAAGGTGTGAGCTGGAAACAGGGCCTCGCCGACGTTCTCTCCATCCTGGTCGTGTCTCACGTGGCGGGTCTAAGAGCGCGCACTGCCGCACGGTTAACAGCATAGAAACAAGGCTTCCCTCTGTCCAGGAGCCGCGCATGAGCGCCCAGGACCTGTCCCGAGGAGCGCCCGTGGGGGCGCACGCGGTTTGGAACGAGAAGGGCAGGCGCTCGTCCCTCCGTCCGCTCCCGAGGCTGCAGGACACGGGCGGGCAGTGCACGCGGGGGTCAGCAGGTGTTTACTCGGCGCGGCCACTGACCACTGTTTAGTGCGGGCGGGAGCACAGCCCTACCCAAGCCTTGGACCCAGACTCGGGGCTGCGGGCTGCGGGAGGACACAGGTGTGTTTTGAGCCCTTGGTGACTGCGGTGGAATGCTGTCCCTCAGGGAAAGCGGCAGATAAATGGAGACCCGTGGAAGGAGCAGGGGGTGCAGGAGGAGACACCCGGGCCCTTAGTGGGCGCAGAGGGCTCCCGGGGGAGGGCTGGGCCACGTGAGGACCCGGGGTGGGAGAGGCCCCGAAGGGCGTGCACATGTTACCGTGGAAGTGGACGAATACCCATGGCCGGGTCTTGGGAGGGGACACCGTAGGCCACAATGATGCTGTCCCCCATTTCTGGGGGCAGCTCAGTTCTGCTGGGATGAGCAGGCAGGTCTCCCAAAGCTGTGCCGTGGGCCCAGG